GGATGAAAAAGAGCTAGAAAGTCGCTTTGGAACAATTGCCGACAGGAAAGATGCACATTTCGGTCTACATGATGCTCTCTGGGCCTGTCAAAACATGTTTTCAAGTTGGTATGTTTGATTCTTCTTATGAGCAGTACGCGCGGGGTTTCTTCTACTTTTCGTCCGAACCCTTCGGAATAGTTGACAGATCTTTTGGTATCCCATATATATATATATATATATATATATGAACGAGAAATCTCGCGCGTGTGCTGTGTTCAGCTGGCTCGATTGTTGATTTGTAAACTTTCAGTTATCTTCTTACGGGAATTTATCAGTGCGCAGTGAGCTCAGAAAACTGATCCCGCTATCATTATTCCGTAGTGTCCTAATTACACAGTTTCATGGTGATTGTGTTCATTTCTCTAGAACCGTCTCGAAATCACACAAAACTGCGATTAACCCTGTTGTTTTCGAGATCCTGTTCTTCAGTGGGTGCATCATTGCTCACCGTAGGCAACTACATATGCTATGTCCGTAGAATTGATTCACATTAGGCCTAGCTACTTGGATGTTCCATCTTACTCACTCCGTCTGTTTCAGCTACGAACAGCGGTGGCGCATTCAGAGAACACAGCGGGATCGCATATGACAGTTTGCTAGCGTGTGAGGGGCGATCGAGTAATCCGGTTTTGAAAAATGATTGCCTCTTAACTGCTCGTGTATACCGCTGTTTCAGCGGGAACTATATGATTATGATGATATGTAAATGTCGGGAAAAATCGATCTTTCTCAATGATCAATTGCTTTGAAATTGCTGTGTACGAATTGTGGTTATCGTTAGCTAATTTTGTTGCCAAGTGCTGCAGTCAGCTTGTTCTTTTTCAGAAAAAGCAGGTGTTGCCCGTCTCCACCCCATAGATCATGACACACTTCAATAATCTATCGTTTGTTTCTAGCTCTAAAACTTTGGCTGATCGGTGCATATTCCTCATAACGGACGATCCGGATCCTTCACATGGAATGGCGCAACTAAAGGTTGGTTTTCAACACCTTCTTCGAATATCCTCCTTGCCCAAATGAAGACTACCGATTGTTTACCAAGCTCTTCTGAAGCGATCCTCCTTGGCACTCTTGCATGCGTGTCTGGTCATCTCACATGAACACCAAAACTCCGCATGAAATAGCCCCCTTCCCATGTTACACGATGGCTATATGGGGCGCTGGGTTTTATTCCTACACTACTGACCTTTTATATCATCCACGCCTTCTTATTGTTTGAATTATGCTGGCGAATACGTAGTGTTTGGCCGATCTCGACCTTGTATAGTTTGGGATTGTGTTGCGACTTATCTACTATGGCTCAGAAATCTTGAAACCTTGCTTCCGTTCTCATCAGAGTGCCCTGCAGTGGTAGGCTGAGATAGATTAAACCGCAACACGCGCCACCATGTTTCCCACATAGTCGGTTAGAGGCATGATGTATCTTCTGGTTCAATTATTTTTTCTAAAATTGATTTTGACCGATTTCGATCTCTGTGGCCGAGCTTATTTGGCTTTAAGTGACACAAGTTCTGCTTCATCATGTTGATACAAAATAATGGTGGTGAAGGTCCGGAGCCCGCGCAAAGTGAAACAGTGAAAATTAGAGAAATTTACGGGGGCACTCGTTGAGTTCTCAGTGAGTTTTCACCCCTACAATTGGAGTGTCGCATCAAGAAAAAAGAACTGGGTAAAGTCGCTCCTGTTTTCAGAGATCATCCTAACAATTTAACCGTAGGAGGCACAGTATCGACAGAAAGGAATAGCCGTGTACACCATTGTCAAGCAAGTGTTTGGAATCTGCTGGCACATGTCTTTTGATGATTCATGAGCGCTCCATATGTTGTCCAATATGAGTACCATTCATTTTTCTGTCTTGCGTGTCTGTCATAGCCTAATGATATCTCACTTGGTCATGCGGTACACAGGACCGCCACTTACAATACAGGGAGAGGTACTGGAAGCCGTGGAGCGTTTTACGTATCTTGGAGGTTGTATTAGTTCTGATTGTAGTGTGACAGATGAGGTGAATGCACGAATCTGCGAGGCTTGGGCCGCGTTTGCTAACTTGAAACACCTATGGCGTCAGAATGGTTTATCCCTGAATCTGAAGGGACGTGTGTATCGAGCTACAGTACGGGCTGTTTTGTTGTATGACTGTGAGACTTGGCCTATTCGAGCAGCGAAACTGAGGCGTCTTCAGGTGTTCGACAATCGTTGTCTCAGAACCATAGCTCGTGTGTGTTAGTGTCGGCGAATCCGTAACGAGGCAGTTAGAAAGCGCGTTTTCGGTTGTGTAACAGGTGCTTTTATTGAAGAACGTGTCAAGCACCAAAAGCTGCGTTGTTTGGGACATGTGTTACGTATGCCGAACCATCGTTTGCCGAAGAGAGCGCTGTTTTCCATGCCCAACTCAGAGTGGCGTAAACAGAGAGGAGTATGAAGGAGATCACGAAACGCTTGGGTGCTGTCGGTGCTACTCGCCCTCCAGGATGGGGACCGCGTGATCCTTATTGTGCCTGGTTGGAGACACTACAGGATATGGCTGCCAACCGATGTCAGTGGCGTTGTTGTTGTCAGTTTCTATCCCGATTGCCTGAGTGAATGTCTGGAGGTGTAGGCAACTCGGAATGATTGTGGTAAGCTAGCACTAAGTCCCTCCCCCATCCACGTTTATTCTTTTCTTTACAATAAGGCTTTCAAATAAATCATGGTTGTGCGTGAAGCATCAGTGTTGAACACTGATGTCATGCTGTCGATGACGATGATGATGATGACTATAAATCCGAATGTATATGCCATCTAGCTAACGTTGATTACTTTATTTTTACTCATCGATCCCACTGGAGTTGTTTGTCCCAATGAGCTGATACACATTACGCATTGGATATAACTGTTAGCAATAACTGCTTATACGGTGTTGTAATTCTGTCCCGTTAAACCCATGTGGGCTCTTGGCCGCATCTTCAGATTCCTCCCATAACTGTCAGGTGAATTCACACCAGTACATGGTTGCATGTTTACCCAGTAAACGTCCTAAATGTGCCAGTAGTTCAGGAAAGTCATCGGTACCTATGGTTGTCCATCAGGTAGGTGTTGATTTGTCCATTGGACCTGACAATCAACCTGCAAACGTTTCCTCACCAATCACGTTGACCTCGTCAACAGCCAGCTGACCAGCAACCAGTAAATGCGCTTGAGCTACCAATATTTTCGTAGCCATCACTTGAGACTGATGGTATGTTGACGAGCATTCGCAAAAAAGGCATTGGTTAAAATATGCCTTTTGGGAGCTACTCACCGTTCAATATTCATTGGTTGGCTAACACGCTAGATGCTTTCAGTAGTGGAAAGATAGGTGGAGAAGTAAACCGCTCTCTCATTTGAGGATTCCTGTTCCCATTTTCTAGACTGTCCTGCGGTTGATGCTACCGTTTATCCCTTATTGTTATATACGTCCTCTATGGTAAGCAGTTTTCTGTTGTATTCCTTCACAGCGTCAAGCTATCATCAAGACGAACGATTTGAAACAAATGGGAATCGGGCTGGAAATACTTCCTGTTAGACGACCCGAGAAAGACGCATCCGAGTTCGATTTTGATTTATTTTATCAGGTCAGTCATGCGTTGTTTTACTCTTTTGTCTACGACCTCAGTATTCAGTTCATCACAGTTGATTGCGTCTGCACAGGACAAGATTACAGGAACTCAGCCGAATGTGCACACTGCACAACATTGCTGTACAGTGGTTGCTCCAAGGATGCAGACTGGATATTTTTACATTTAAAAGAAGTCACTTTCAGGGGCGATGCTCTTCAAAGGCAAAATGCATTGTGACCCAGGGCTTAGGGGAATTTCGGTTGTTCCGGCACTAAGAATACTGGTAGAAATTTACGCGATTTCCTGTTCCGGTTCAGCCGGTCCAGCTCATGTAAATATTCTCATCTTGTGCGTTTACTCATTTTGTTGATTTGTCTGGGTGCGCTAGTGCTTTCATGTTTGGGTGAGATGGAATAAATATGTTACTTTTGTAGTGATTCCACTTCACTGACAAGAAAATATCACGTGTCAGCTCCGCTTGACAATGACCGCTCTGTATGCACTCGCCTCCGGTACGCCCTCTATTTTTTTCACACTAAGATGCCTAAAGATCACCGCCTCGGTTATCTTAGCTGTGGTTTGGATCGAAGTTGCCGTCTTAAAACTTTTACATTTTCCAGATTGGTTCTAAATCCTGTGTGTAGCACATGTTTCACCATCTTTGGGTTTCTGACCAGCTGTATTTTTTTATAGATCTGTTCATCCTTATCTCGTGCTAATCAGTTCCCTGTCTGTGTCTCATCTGAACACACTTGATTTTATATAGGCAGTGATTCAACCGGGAGGCGATGGTTTGTTCGTACCATTACAGAGCATAAGTTTTCCTCTCTGACTCTGTTTGACATCTTCCGGTAACTCCCATAATCCCTCCTTTTCTGATCCGTTCTTTACTGGGTCCAGTTACTGAGGACAACACCCTTCTCCGTTTTCGCTAAAACAAACATACTGGGTATCAGCAGTGCTAAAGTCTGCGCTTGACCTCAATTCGGGTGGCTATTCAATCGAGTTCCGTAGAAAACGCTGTGACTCAGTTATACTTTGATGAAGCACTGCCACCGTATTCTAAATTGGGTTGGGTGCACGAGTAGTTTAAGACGACAACTGTACCTATTGGTTTCTAGAAAATGATATTATTTTTTGATTTTCATCATCCTTGTTCGTCGTGCAATCCGTGGATGACAGTGTGCCTGAAGTAGACTGTATTTGGACGCCTAATTCTGTAGAGACTCAGGTTATTGAGACAGTCCTAGGAACCATTGACTTCTGTTCATCATAAAGACTTTATTTAAATAGTTCTAAAAACTCTCGGTGGAGAGTCATATCCGATCCAAACCTTCTGTTCAAAGTCTTCTTCTTCAAAGTCAACACCGGGAATCCCATCACTAGAACGGCGTACACAACTGAATCGAAAACAAAATTACCAAGATTCAGTCATGCTTTTATGCCCCAGCTATTCCATCAACTGAGAACTTAGTCTCTTACTGTAGTGTCCTATCTACCCGTAGCAGCTGTTTGGCCCGTGCTAAAGTGTATACGTTGGTAAACACCGAGTTAACAGCAAAACTCGCCAGAAACTCCTCTGTCTCCTGCACCCTTTGTTAACAAAGTCGTATGAAGCCCAGCTATGTGCTGTTGTTTTCCCATAAGTGTTTTGTGAATTTCCACTGGGATCCTAGCTAGTTCGTATCGTGGCGAACCTAAACCGTTCATAATTTATCCTATTAGCACATGTATATGCCTTATGGATTTAGTCAAAATTGCTCTTAGACTCAAGCTGGTGTATGCAAACATCAATTGGCCATAGTTCAGATGAGATAAATGAAAATCAGATTGATCCTTTAATGGAAACCGTAGTCGTTAGTACTAATGATCTGATAACCTCACTATTTTTTTCTGTCACTCTTTCTTATTGTAGGATTTATTATCCAATGGAGATTTCGATTTCTTCCCCGCGGACACTGCGCCTGCACGTACGGATGCAGCCGAACGAATAGAACAGTTACTCTCCCGGTAGATAAAATTGCTCATTACGCGATGTCGAATGTGTGCTCAATATGTAGCAGTTGGATTGTGGTTGAAGTACCCTATCTCTCCATATGGTGTTTGGATGAGATTCACAGAAAGTCGTGCAATTATATAGCAACTGTTGTTTCTTCATCAATATGTGTCACGTGCTTTAAGTGCGAAAAACCTATTTTATCTCTGCGTTGTCAACATAAGGCCGTGGATAAGTCAAATGTTCTTTTTTGATACCGATAATTCGTATATTGTGAAATATTTCTCAGATGGTAAGACGTTTTCAGTAAGGTCGTGGCCATTTGAAGTTGAGCGTAAGACGATTGAACCACGTTGTTCAAATTTACCAGTTAATTGATCTCGTTCACTTGCATATGTTCTTTGGTTTTTTCTCCTTGACTGTGTTTGAGAAACCAATCCGTATCGGTTTCTCCTAATTTATTTCACACAAAACAAGGCATTTGTCAGTTTCTCAATAGCTGCTCACTTCAACTAGCTAAAAAAACTAACAGATGTGCAAAAGCTGTCCTCAACAGTCCCGATTCCCGTTTGATTAGTTTATTTTTGACCTACCCAGCCGACCCCACCGTCTTTTTCCCCAGTGAATGTGTCAAACCTTGATCTAGTGTGATATCACCAACCTCTTTCCACCTTTCCTGTGTGAACACTGACCAGCCTTTGTTCCTCTTGGTTATTTTTTCCCACAGAGTTTGGATTAGAGAACTCAAGCGACGCCGTTTGACACGGATTCCTTTTCATCTTGGTCCTGGTAAAGAATTCGCCTTAGGCGTGTCTGTATTTTGCCTTGCGCGTCGTGCCCGACCTCCGGTTTCTGTGTGGCTATCATCTGCAGACAACAAACCTGTTACTGTACGCCGTCATCGTTATAAGGTCAGCAAATCGAATGGAGAATTCGATCCTACTGAGGATCTTTTATTGCCGCATGATTTGATCCGTGGAGTGAAGGTCGGTTCGCGTCATTTGTGCTTTGAGCAGGAGGAGATCAGTGAAAACATTCGGGATCTTGCGCCAGTTGGTACGTTCTTCTCCTGTCCGCACAATATCCACCAACAAGGTTGCCAACGAACTGAATGCAATTTTTTGGCATGGGAAGCAAAAGCTCACACTATTATGGTCAGTTCGATGGAACGGCCAAAGGTTGGAAGCTAAATATTGTCCATGAAAGTTCCATATGGAGTGATGCGACCACATCACGTGATTCGGCCAAAGTGTGGAGAGGCACTTTTCCAGATATTTCACAACACCATCTCTAAACTTAGTATGTAATCATTCGAAACTGAACTACCTTTCAGATGTCAGACTACCTCCGCCCATAGTAGCCAAAACGAAATACTTTTGAGCAGAAGATAGCCTCAGTTTAGAAGTGGTTTATTTGAACTCCATGCGGAAAGTTGGATGGATTATGTGGTGGCACCCACTAGAAATGGAAATTGATTTAACGAACTCAGATTGTGCCCATTATTTCAAAACGACTTATACGGGATGGGACACCTGCGTTTGATATCATAATGCTATTTTCAGTGCGTTACACACATCGTTATTGAAGCTAAGCACGAAGATGTAAAAACCAGGCACACCTCAGTGAGTAGGATAGAACGATTCAGTTACATTGACAGGTAAGCTAGGTATGTGAGAGTGAGGTTAGCGAAAGCATCTCAGACCTGCCTTCGTCACACCGTCGCTATTCATTCAGTACGGTACTTCTTTATTTATTGTCAACGTGACAGATTTGAACGATGATTTTCAGCAAACGTTTTTTTCATTTTCATCCATGACAACTACAGTCATTAGCAAAAAGTAGGATTGAGCTTGTTTCCTTTGTTCCCTTCTTCATCATCCTTTTCCAGGAATTCACCTTCTGGGCTTCAAACCAATTCACCGTCTTAGGCCATATCACCACATCCGAGCTCCACAGTTCATCTATCCCGATGAATCCTACATTCGCGGCAGTCGTCTTTGGTTCACCACACTGCTTCAGGTTTGTCTCAATCGACGTCTGTTCGCTATGGCTTTGTATGTGCAGAGGAAGAATATTCCGCCACGTTTGATTGCCTTAATTCCCCAGGTACGTTGGACGTATCTCCTCCACGTAATTTCTAAACTTTTCATATCCACTAAGTTACAGGTCGTGGAAGATATTCATGAATCATGAAACCGTTTAAACTTGTCAACTGTTTCTTGTATATTATAATTTAAGACGTATCTTTGACCAAAAAGTTCACAATTACCTCATGTTTCACTACGATCCAGACGTAGTTCCTTATTTCGTTCCCCTCACCGAGTGATTCTGAATGATTTGTATGAGAACAAAATGTAAGCCATTCTGTATAAGTTGGAGGTCGGTAATCTCTGCGATCCCATTCTGTAGTTGTTGTGCTGTGCTCGATCATGGAAGGTAACCGCACTAGTTTTCTTATCTGACTTACGCCATCTTCGCCACAGCTCAAGAACTTCCATACATAGCGCGTCATTCCCAATGGGACAGAACGTGCTGAATCTTACTCTAAAGCAACAGATACGATGTAACCTACCTGGCCTGTGGCTTATGAGTATCTTCCAACTTAGAAAAGAATGCAATTTACCTGGAGAGGATTCCATATTTTCATGTGGATGTTGATTTTATCGCTTTGCATGTTCCTGACAGTTCGTGATTAGAAACGTATCCGTGCGGTTTCTCTACCACACACTTGAACCACACTTGAACCCATCAAACTCCAATCTGCATTAGACTGCCCCGGGGTTTCGTTCCGCGTTCTTGGTCATCTCTGTTACATTTCACTAATTAGGGTATGATTTACTTCGTAATACTGATTGTCGATATGTTTGATATGAAGTCCATAGATTTGGATGATAATGTACTAGAAACCAAGTACGCATGACGAAAGGGATCAGCTCACCTGACAGGTCAGCTGTATGAAAGATTCTGTCCATCCGTCAGCTTCATGTTCCTAATTGTCTGTTTGACTGTGCTATGGCAGATGTGGCAATTATATCCACTCCTAAACCGTTTTCTCTTGTGTATGAGGCCAATTATCATACTCACTTTTGCATCTTGTCTCACAGGAAGAAAACCTGGACGAAGATGGTGCGCAAGTATATCCTCCTGGGTTTCACATAATTTTTCTCCCGTATTGTGATGACTTTCGAGATTTGGAACTGCCAGAATTCGAGTTGGGTAAGTCTGATAGCACGAAGAAATCGAACACCCATCAAACCATTTTCCTGGAGTGCCTCGGCCCATAGTTGAGAAAGAACCAATGCACAAAAAAACTCCCCTCACCTATATCTCATGAATTTATCTTTCTATTTCTTCTGGTTTTGATAGTGAGGTTGTATCATTCTGGAAGGATAACGCTCCCAAAAGAGGACACTATTGGTCTGTCTTGTGTTGTGCGCCTACACAGCTTTGTTCGCCCTTTCCAGTGCGGATGAATGATCTATGAGATAACACCGTGAAACGACAGTAACTGTGGCCAAAACTAAGTGCTATGAGATATTTTCTCCATGTTGCGTGTGTTCACGCAGGATGTTACCCTGAATGGGGTATGCTGTAACTGTATGCTGAAGTTTGTCTCCCGTTGTGTGCTTTTAAGCAAAGTCCGTAGGGACCCTCGGGAGTTGTCTGTTCGATTGCCTCTTACACTAACGCCATTTTGTCTGAAGTTGGGGGCATATGACTCTTCATCATTTTGTGTCATTAGCATTTTTTCACTCAAAATTAGAATGTTCTGTTCTCTGCACTTAATTATGAGTGGTGTACACTACTCATATGTTGCTGTTAATAGCATTGGTCGTTTAAAGATTTTTTCACCTGCGGGATAGACTACCTTTGGTAGGTCATTCTGAATGGCCTCTAGAGGGCAACTTTCGTTTCCGGTATGCTGGCTATTCCCATTGACTTTGTTAGCCGTATAGGCCATCCGAGCTCCTAAATTTTAGAAAGTTTCTATTTTAAAATGCCCAATCTTTTTTTCTGCTAGCAGATTTTGTGAGTTTTATAAGATCATTTTACTCTTTCCCTATCAGGTCAACCTATTCAAAGAAAACCGAGTGATTTGCAACTCATTCTTGTCCATAGCCGTCAGCCTGTGGTATAGCGTTTGCATTGCGACTCCAAAGACTTTTTGCTATGCTGTGGGCGAGTAAATCGATTTTGTATGTGCAGTGCTCAAGATTTCATGTAAATCCCGTGGTCCTATCCGTTCTCAAAGACAATGTGGTCAGTCTCACTACCAAAAATCATGCAGGCATTCCACTTTAGTTCACAGTCCATATAATGCTCCAGGAAGTGCGTACTCGTACTTTCTGGTGTATTCCGATCTAAGTGCATTATGCTTCTCTCGATTGCTCCCGGCTGGTAAAATCATTCTGCTAGGTGTCCCCAAACGAAGTTCCTATCCAACCCCGACTTTGGTCGTGGAGTCTACTGCATGTTTCATTCAGTCCCCTAAGGCTGACAGTAAGTCTCACATTTTCCTACAGCACGACGTAATCACCTTCGTAAACGCATAGGTTAAAGGTTACTTTCACCTTAATACCCACCGTTCAAATGCACCCTTGATTTCTAGATTCCCTCTGTCTTGGCGGTTTCTCAGCCTGCACACTTACTACGGGTCGCTTGGCAATGTTGTATCCCCAATATATCGTAGCTAGTTTCTTTAGTCAGTTACTCTGCAGAGGTTGCTATTTCATACAATAAAAAATCTTTTTAGTATTATATGTCCATGAGTATGTGTAGCTGGTTGAACTTCCCTTACCAGAGTAACCTGAAATAGTTCATTTTTGGCTTCTTGGATAATGCACATACCTCCTCACTGTTGCAGTGCAACCAATCTGTATAATATTTTGCTTTGTTGTATTACGTGAAGCTTCAGAAGAGCAGGTAGAGGCGGCTAAAGCAGTGGTGAAAAAGCTGATGGTTCCCTACGACCCCAGACAGATCAGTAATCCTATCCTGCAACGACACTACGCTGTACTGGAGGCTCTGGCTCTCCACAAGGATCACGTGGACGATGTACCCGACAGCACAAGTAAGCGCTAGTCCGCTTTTATTAGTCTAAAAGACTCCTAGAGCGTGATAGATCAACGCAAATTGCTTGGTAAAACCTTTTTGATACCCCCTGAGACACATAATAAACGGAAGAAATTGGTAGGTATTTCAGTCGGTTTGGAAATTAGGGCTGAAATTCTCAAAGTAGTGGGTACATGGTACCGTCGTTTAGCTGCTTAGCCGGACGAGTGCCAGGCTTGTGCGAATCTTTAATGACCAAAGTTTAGACTAAAGATTCATACACCCACAGCATCCGCGGTGGCCCGCAGTCTTGCTCTTATCGCTTATCGTTGCTACCGCACTGATCATATGCTTCTCAGCTAGCCTGGAGTGAAAACAGTTGCGGTTGATCACTGTCCTCTCTGAAGGGTGTTTGGGCGATGTGATCATGCGTTCGAACAGTTGGCTAACAGTTCCAGCAATGCTTTTGGTTTACCAGGACGAGACAGATTTATTTATACTCATCGGAGCGGTCTATCGTTCACGTTTTTATCTGACCGTGTGCGGCTTTTAACCAATACATGGACGGGTCCCGAAACGGGGCTTTCAACTGTTTGGTCAAACCTTGCCAATGCTTCGGTAGACGAATTATTGTTAGAAGATGGACATAAAAAGCGGGCACTATCAACACTATACTATTTATCTGACTACCTTTATATATCTATCGACAAACTTACCTGGACACATCTGCCGTTATACGCAGGAAATTACAGGTTTTCTAGACAGGCGTTACACAAAATTTCGTTTCCCTGTTGGTGGTACGAAGCTGACGTGGTGTGTTTGCTAGCCTCATTGTATTCGCCCGGCATGTATTCTGCCTTACTGTACTACGGAAGGAAGAGGGTTTCATTCAGGAGAGCTTTATCTACTTAAAAGAGAGTTTTCACGTTCCACCGTACCTGGTGTTTTCAAATTTCGTGTGGTAAAATGTGAAAAAGTGGTACATGTCTGTACCCTTTCAAATTTATTCAGAATCGGGGTTTTATCAGCATTGGCTCCATAGAATGTGGATTTATCAGTTCAGTATCGAATTCTTCAATTTGGGTGTGAAACTGTCCCAGCAATATCTCATATGACCGGAACATTTTCAAACTTCTTTCGATGTTATTCTGTCCGGCATGTGAAAATGAGATATCGAAAATGTCATCTGCAGTCAACTAATGTTGCTTTTCAGATTTCGGCGCATTGATTCAGCTTGCATCTAATTCGTTTTATCTTCTGACCCTATCATATTGGGTATTTTTATCCCCATCTTACATTTTACGGTTCAAACCTGTTACGAAATGTGCCACTCTCCGCTTCGACTTAGCATGAATTCGTGGAAATCTGAGTGTAACCGACTCGTTGTAAAGTGCTTTTTTTGGCCGGAAGAGTAATACAACAGGAAGCTCCAAGCTATCAGACGGTGCACAATATTAAAAGCTACTCAAGTCATTCTTCAAGCGAATAGATGTTTTATTGCTCGCGCGGGGGTTCCTATCCAATCGATGTAATTTCAACCATTGTCTAAACAGGTCAAACTAGTCGACTGCCCTCTGTACACCCTGGTGTTCAGCAATATCAGCCGAGTGCAGGTCAACGCTGGACAATGTGACCTTAAAATACCCTGAGTCCTTCATATAGGTTTTTTCCATGTGTTGCCCTTTAGAGACGTAGAATGGCCTGTTTTTGCTTCTGTGATGCGCATCTACAACGTGCGTTCATGGTTGCTACAGTGAGCGAGCTAGATTGCTTAGATCGCCATTTCGGAAATGTAATCTCCAACTTTAATCCTATCCATTTCTGACGGTACCTAAGCTAGTAAAGCCCAAATAGAGGTAAGCAAGAAAACGAGGTTGGAAGGCGGCATCACTGTTTCGTCATCCTTATCACACGCTTTTGTGGTTCGGTCTGGTATGGTGCACGCTCGAATTTCGGACTCCTCCTACTCAGGTCTGAGTGACAAGTAATATCAGTCTGCGTACTTCTTGTAGCTTATTAGGCAACTGATACTGACAGTAAAATGCTTCACAGTTGAAAAATCGAACCTGATCTTTGTGGAACCACACTAAAACTAAAAATGCACCTATTTCGACCGTCGTCAGTGATTTTGCAGCCTGTTTCTTATCGCAAAATGGGACCTTGTTACCCCGGCTCTTTCGATCGTCCAGTTTTCTTGGTTCGTAAAAGACTTTTTGGGTGGCTGATTTTGCTGTTGTAACAGACGGTGTACTTTGTTAAGGTACTGTTGTTGAACCCCACAACTTCAAACTCGTAGCCCGAATAAGATAGCCCTAGTTTGCTCATCCGTCTGGTCTGAGCACTAATTGAAGTTTCGAAAGCATAATCACTGTTTCTTTTGAAGAGTGCGGTGGCATGCAAAATGTTGCTCGGATGCTTCGGTTCGTTTTTTTTCACTTCACAGATATCAGGCAATTTTGGCCAATCCCATTAAAGTTTGCTCTACAAGCTATGGTGATGTAGTTACTCATGATGAAATCTGGTTTAGGCTGACATACGAGCACAGTACATAGGTCAGAGAGCATTTCTGCCTTTCAATAAAATTTCTTTCCCTAAAACAGTCACCTCGTTTTACAAAGAGATGTGTTTACGCGTTAGTACGTCGGCATTGGTAGTTGTCATCGGGGTGCGGATTCATGAGATCAGACCTAAATCTGAGCGCCATATTCTATGACGAAAGCTTTTATATTCCTGATTCTTAGCTCGATTCGTCTCACTTTTTCAACCTGTTCACACTTTTACTCACTCATTTTATGTTTTGGTTTTTAAATCGATAAATACGCAGCCACTGTGATATCCACCAGCTCACTAATTTAGTTTGAAAGGGAGACTCAGCTCAATTCCATCTGAGTCTCTTTTTATAATGACCTTCAACTGATTTTGCTGCACAAGGGCCGCTCCTGACGGAGCACCATTCATAAAGTTGCTGAAGACTCCAATAAAAAAATAGCACGAATATAAGGTTCAGCTGGGATCCAGTTGAGCCACCCGTTAAAAGGTGGTGCACTTCGTGTATTGCATCCCATTTGGGCTCAAGTAGAACATAGTTGGTGGTACCCCGAGGACTGCGCCTACCTGATGAGCCTCAAGAGAGCCGAAACAGGTCGTGGGTTTTCGATTAGTTTTTATCACGCTTATGAGTAGTTCTATGTTGCTGGTGTACTTTTCAGAAACTTGTGTACTTCTGAACCCCACGTAGGTTTTCCAGATCAAGCATAGCACATCCACCAGTGAAAACGTCTAGAAAGTTACGGCAATTTCCCGTTCGTCGACACACCACACCCTACGCCGAACTGGCCTGCCGATAGTATAATGAGTACACATAACAAAGGACAAGACAGGTTTGAAACCGTCACAAGTCACATGCTCAAGCTTGGCTTGAAATGAGGTGCGGACCTATTGTCTGATAGGTTGCTAGATTGGCTTGTTATGCAGAAGAGGCTGTTCATACCAGTTTGACCCTCATTAAGGTGCTGTACGCCAACTCCCGCGACCGTGTAAAGGTCTACGGGAAACCCTCTCCTGAGTTCATCAAATCAAGTGGTGTCGGACAGGGCTGTCCTCTGTCAACTTTGTCATTGATACGGTCATGGAAGACTCACTACCAGCCCCTAATGCGTGGGGTCAAAGTGCTCCCTGGTACATCGAGTACGCAGACGACATAGCTCTTCTAGGATCTGACTCCGTGGTAATGCAAATAATACTAAATAATCTAAATAATTCTGCCTCGCGGTTTGGTATGCGCTTCACAACTGCAAAGTGTAAAGTGCTACTGCAAGACTGGGTGGGTTCGAACCCTAGCCTCATGCTTGCGGATGAACCGATTGAGGTAGTAGACAAATTTGTTTACTTGGGCAGCTGTATCAGTTCCGGTGGTCTCGCGAAAGATGATAGTTCCATCCGGATTGGGAAGGCCAGAGCAGCTTTTGCGAACCTACTTCACCTGTGGCGTAAGCGTGATATCAGCCTCCCTGTCAAGGGTCGAGTTTATAATGCTGCGGTGCACTCCATATTACTATATGGATCAGAAACCTGGCCGCTGCGCGCCGAGGACGTCAAAAGACTTTTAGTGTTTGACCATCGATGTCTTTGGAGCATTGCCCGAATCTGGTGGGAACACTGGATCGGCAATTCTGAAGTACGTCGAATGGTATTCGGGAGAAACAACTCACCCTCGATAGATAAACCCATCATATTGCATAAGTTGCGCTGGCTTGGCCACGTGCTGCGCATGCCAGCTGACCGACTTCCTCGAAGGGCTATTTTCGCACAACCACGTGAAGGGAGGCAGAGAGCCAGAGGCGGTCAAACAATGACTTGGCAGCGAAGTATGAAAGCCATTACCAGCAAACTCAGCTGTCCTAGTCACTGCCGTCTTCCTGGATGGGACGGGCCACATCAATGACTAGAGACATTGTCATACATGGCCCAGTCGCGCTCTCAGTGGCGCTCGTGCATCCAAGCTATTGCCTTCACTGCATGGCTCCTTCTCCACCATCCCGCCCCCCACCCCACTTGACAGCCCACTGACAGTGCTGGATTTATGCACCAATTTATCAGCTGCCGCCTCCAATGCGCAGTTATCTACCCCACCGTCCCAAATCACCGGTTCACCTGTAGCATCCTTAAGGTTCCTAGCTGTCACGCCACACGAAGGAAACACGAGGGCTGGCATACTGCCAGGTTACCCAAGCATAGACAGCGGAGGGCGAGAGGCAGAGGTTGGGTTCGAACCAAATCATCGGTGGACGAAAATGTGACAGCTGCAACCACTGTACGACGAGTACGCGGTTATTACAGCTGACAATGATGATACCAGTTTGTCCACCGAACCGATAGTTTGTGTATCATTCCAGCTAAAGAAATTATTCTATTGTTAGGGATAGTTCTAGTTAAGCTCGGTTTATGGCGGACCGCTCAAGTTATTGTCTATGGTGCACCTCAATGTACGCTTCCATAGAAATCGTGGGATCATTGTGGGGTTACCCGATTCGTTTACGAATTGTGTTCGTTGATTTGAATGCAGCTAGCAGATGATTACTCAGCTTGGTTTGATTCGGTTATTTTGAACGTGATAGCGGATGTGTCGGCCCAATTATTGTAAACTATTTGGCGAACCGATGCCAAGTGTCGCGGTCATCCAACGGTCAACAAAGTACTGTGTCCTTAACAGACGGTGATTCTACTTCCTTGCAGTTATTTGGTTGTAGAAATAGCAGGGACAGTTTTCATCCGTTGTGACTCGAAATTTCACAGCCGTACCAAAGATTTGGATCCAGTCTTGACAATTCAACGTAGAATCATGCACGTGGCATTCACTGTTAGACTTGAACATTTTGGAAACACGAGGACTGAGCGCCACAGTAGTAGTATGTTTGATTTACTGGGGATGCCTCTGCAAACTTGTGCCACTATGGTTGCTGGGCTTGAGTAGTGAGAAAATACCGTGTTGAGGATTGAGATCAAACATTTATGATTTCTGTGCACTTTCTTGTTGATTCTTCTCCGTTGGGCATGCAAAAAACAGTTATAATCACAGATAGTCTCACGCTAATTGTCCGCCTGGAATTTCGCTATCTTCGCTACCCCCTGTTTCTGGTCGTAACATTTTCAAGAAACCGTGAACACTGTAAGCCTGTAAGTGGTCACTTCTCTGAAGAGTCCACAACGATGTTCTCTGTCGACCGTTATTCAGTACGAAGACTCTCAAAGGTAGGAAAGTTCAAACAGCCTCTTCCATGTAAGATTCTATGTCCTTTGACGACGTCTTTCCATTAGACAACCCTACTTGCACTGATCATGAATTCGTTCACGATCAATTTCAGAAATATCTTTGTAATGTACTACTCATAAGATTGCTGAAAATCCATCGACAGCCCACGACCGGTTTCGCCCTTCTTGGGGCTCATCAGGTAGGCGCAGTCCCCGGGTTTCCGTCAACCTTATGTTCTACTTGAAACCAAATTGGGTACCTTAGAGAACATGAGAATCATTGAGGCATGATGCGTGTTGTTGCTACAGAACACCCACGTCAAGTAGAACATAAGGTTGACGGAAACCCGGGGACTGCGCCTACCTGATGAGCCCCAAGAAGGGCGAAACCGGTCGTGGGTTGTCGATGGATTTTCAGCAAACTTATGAGTAGTACATTACGAAGATATACATGTATCGCGATGTTTCAAGTATCGTAGGGACTGAAACATGAGGCGGCCTTGTGCAGCACATTCAGTTGCCAGTATCGGAGACAACCAGGTGGAACTTTCATTACAGCATCCTTAAGGCGTGGTTAACATTGGTGCGCCGTAGGCATGGTAACGCTGTTAACACCAAGTAAGTGGGAGTGATGTTAATTTTCTCCGGATAGTCGTTCTCCTATTGTTTAAAGCCTCCCTAATGGTGCTAGTATCACCAAAGGCAACAAGGCAGAACGGATTTTTCCTTCTACACATAAGCTACACTTCACTTCACCCGAGAGATTTAAGACCATGTAAGATACACCAGCATGTATCGCTCTCAGCCCAGTGAATATAAGTGCAAAAGCGTAGCTCAGAAGTCATCCGGTTAGCTCTGTTCGATTGCAGCTCACCGGTACACTTTAGACTGACTTGTTCTGAATCGAGCAATCAATCGCCGTTTGGTTGTTCTCCCTGTAATACCCGCATATATTTTCGTTTGTAGTGCCTAATTTTGGAGCGATCCAACGGCGTGCTGGAAATGAGATAGCCAACTTCAAGCGGGTTTGCAACCTGGAAGAAAGTGTTCCGGTTAAAGTTAGTACTTTTTGCATCTCTTTTAGAAAATTTCCCATGAACACATGTGCATAGAAGATAATGTGGATAGTAGATGCATGGTAAACGTTTTCATTGTGGTAGATGCATGCGGAACGAAACTTAACGTACCGTGAGAAAAATCCGAACCACAGAATCGTTGATTGGCAAACCTGAGTCGAACCACCGACTGACAACTGCCCAGTGGGTGCTTGGTTTACCGAGATCGTAGAGTAAGTAGCATCATACCCAAGTCACCGGTGACTTAGTTTAGTTTATTTAGTTGTTTAGTAGTTTATTTTAATTGAAAACGTTTTCCATATTTTGCTAAGTGTTTCAGTTAGGTTTAATAACGTCCTCATAGTAATTAACGTATCTCAGTGCCTTCAGATATCACGAAATATCCATAACTCACAATCTCGATCACTTTTAGTAGGGTCAAAACACCGGAAACGGCAAGCACTTAATCTCGAAACAACCTTCGGAATCACTGCAGCAGCGTCTCCCTTCATTTGCTCCAAAAACTACGTACGATTCGCCTACCCACAAACAAAGTGTTGTGGATCATTGATGATCGTGCGCCCGATTATACTATGGAATCATTCTGGTGCGTAGCTCGCTGCCCAGCACAAGCCTGTCCAAACTTGTTAAACTGCCCGTAGTATGCCGGTTAATCGCCAAGCTAGGGAGGCAATCTTGGTATGGCACATGTTAATCCATGTGATTTTAAGGATTAGCCGTTCATACTTCCAGCACTGATTTATTGGTTTGTGAATTAAGCCATTTCGTGGAGATCGGAACACGCATTTGGCGTGGCTAGTGCATCTCATCCTACCGTCATTTTTTGACATCTGCGCCACAGACCAACCCTCACTAAGTTCAGTTAGGATGAAGTACAAGTTGAATCGGAAATGCAGTGTACCTATCTAATGTCTGTCAGGAGTATTTTCACGGTAATCATTTGTTCAAACCCTTACCAAACTATTCTTATCTGCGTATGAGTTTTGATCTACAACTGCTTGTCGAATGCACCCCGTAGACCTGCTTGATTCAAGCGACTAAAACATACAGACGACTAAGGGATCAGGAAGCAACATGCGCACCAATGGTCCCTCCATGATTGGTGATGAAACATCTGCAAGCTAACTGTCAAGTTCGGCGAATAGATCAACAGCTACCTGACATTCAACTAGTTAACGAACTCGAGCTATTAATATTTCAAGGTTCGCCGGTGCCATGGGACATACACCTCGATACTAGGTGGAGTCGGTAAGAAGGGTTGTGGAAAAAACCAAGGGCAAAAACGTGGATTTTTTGTCGTGCAAATCATGCTGAGTGCCAGCTCATATTAGGCACCTGCTCATTTTGTACTCCAGTTCGGACATCATCTCATCCTAGAGTTGGTAACTCGCTGGTTTCTGGTTCACTGGCCGGGAGGACTGAGCGGCAAACCCATTTGCAGTTCGTGCCCATCGGCTCTGTATGGATCCTGGCCTCCGACATTCTATTAAAACCCTAGACAATCTCTGAGTGAACGACCGCTCGCCGTAACTAATCGTATTTGTGTGGCCTATGCTGACTTCAGCCCTCATGTTATTTGCTCTTAGCGTCCGAAAGTGGCTGCAGATTCGAAAAAAAGGCGCGCCTCTCCATCTAATAAAGCCATGTCAACAGAGCCGGATTTCACTGAGGAGTACTTGAGAGACCTCAACAACCATGGCGAACTGAAGCGATTCACGGTTCCCGTATTGCGTCAGGCGCTGAAATTTCTCAATTTGGTCCCACTGGGTACGAAAAAAGCAGAGTTGATCGCACAGATAGACAAACATTTTGCTGAACGCTCCTGAGACTTTTGTTTTCATTTATACCACTATTTCCCAATCAGCATACTTTTACTGTGCCTCACAATGCAATCAATCCAGTTCGTTTTCCTTTCAATAATGCAGATCGGGCCATGCATCTGGGATAGATAAATGTTGGCATGTTTTACGCTACGCAGACAGCCCTACGTCCAAATATGAGTTCACTCATGTAGTACAGTTGTACGCGGATAATAGCCACCGTAACAAAAATGAGTGGTTTAGTCGGTCAAGCAGAGCATCCTGACCATCTGGCTTCGTTTAAAGTGGGGCACAAATCATGTTAGACTGTAAATGAGCTCACAAACCGGTTTAGCCAACTGTTAGTACCATATATAGAGAGGTTAACTTCTATAAGTGTACGATATGGGGAGAAACTATCGGGACGAAATGTTCGTCAGCTTGTGTAATTGAAAAATAGAATCCATGAGTTGCGAACTGTTCACATCAGCCCCTGGTGGTTGCAATTTTGCGCCGTCCCGACTGTGGTAGCTTTCAATTGGTTACCACTAAATCTCATCAGAAACGTATGGGCTGCCGTACTAAGCGTGGCCCAAGCCACTGTTTACCCACTATTTCTATTGACTTTATAGTGAATGGTCAAACGCACTCTGTTTAAAAATTGAGAAAAATCGTTCAAGGAACAGTACTACAAACAGTAGCAGCAGTAATAATATCCATGACAATAAGTAGACAAACAATCATCGAGGTTGAAGCCGTGCCTTCATCTATGTAAAAACAAGTTCGAAAGAAAGGAAAGTAAACGTATAAAATTGCAAGTCGATTGCAACACATGGGGCCCAAATGGAATCCATTCGGATAAATGTAGCAGTTGGAAAGGAGGGACGTTTCTTCAATATAGGATAGGCTTCTTATCAGAAAGGCGTGAATTGCCTTACAGATAGCGTGCACAAAAGAAACAAATGAAAGGAATGATCAAAGCTGAGGGACCGATGGATTCAAAAAGTGAGAGCTAGAATAGTTGAAACGAAATACGGAATTGCACTACTCCACGGGACGAGGAAGAATCCATCGGACTAGGCAACAGGTGAGCTGGGGTCTACTGAAATTCGGGTTGAACGGATACGTGTCGTGAGAACGGAACCGGAATACGGTTATATGAGTATTGCTAAAGTGCTCGTAAGGCACGGTGATTAATAGAGTGAATGAGAGGAAATATAAATATCAGTTCAATCGTAAAAGTTCGCTCTGTTTGAGGTAAACCAATGAAAAAATAGAAATGCCCGGTCGTGCCGTTACACGAACAGTGTGACGGCGACTAAAACGGTTGCGAGAGTTTAAATAGGGAATGCGCTAATTAGATAAAACAGTACTGAGAGGAGCCAGATGGATACAATACGGAGCTTAAATATGAGATGAACTAATCACTGGGCAGTGAATATACGCGGATTTCGAGGAAATGAAGAAAGCCCGTGTAGAGGGTTGGTTGTGACAGCTGAGATTGAGCAGTTGTCCCCAAAGGGAGTTCTTTACAGTCTCACCGAACGCACTCACCCGCATATTATTATTATGAGGAGGTTTCTTCACAAAAACTGTTAACTGCAGCAGAATGAGAGAGAAATGCTACAACTTCGTCTGGCTTGGCTGTACGCACATCGCCAGAATGTGGTACCAGTGCGATGCTTCGCTTTTCGGTAAGTGGGTTGCACGTTGAGTGATTCGGAGTTGAGTGCTTGTTCTGTACCTCCGAAGCCTCTGCATTAGTATCCTCTCCAGGCACATTGTGTGTAGTTGAAACTTGATCTGAAGAAGCGTTGTCCACCCCGTGTCCAATTGTAGACGCGACTGCGGCGGCCATCGAGACTTCTCGAAGTCGCACGACGTGATGATCCCAAGCACTTTGAAACATATCATGACTGTCTATTTTTAGCGGTCCGAATCCTTGCGCGAAATGTGAACCACATGAGGAAAGTGCACAGTGATCGGAGAAATTAACCGGTGAATGTTGGTTGCTGTGGGGAGCTGTAAAAACATTGCAAACAAACAGACGGTTGAGTGAAAAAAGGCGTGCCACGCAGCATGATAGGACACAAACATTAGATCTTACGCAGTCATACATAGCCTGAGAAGGGCGACGTATTCAGTTGTTCACTAGGGCGTGGCCATTCATTAGAAGTGCAGTGAAGTACCAAGTGTTGAGTTACAGGACAGTTGTCAGGGCGCACCCAGACAGAAGAAAAAGTACATGTGCAGAGAGTGACACATCCCCAAGGTCACCATCGGTACGACGCGTCCGGGAAGTAGGTAAGTCGGCTGCTCTTACCAAGCACGGCTTAGCAATAGACGACCAGCGTGGTGGGCCTGAGAATGTTCACGACCGGAACACCACCATTGGCTGTACGGAGCGAACAAGTGGACGACCATATTTGGCTAATTAGACGTCCTATATATTTACGCAGATGTTCTGTATGTTTTGTCCTGGCAATACAGCCGTGTCCCCAGTTCTCTATCTTCTCCCTATCCCGTAGTCTGGCAGGCTCAGCGCAGGCGTAACCAATAGCTCGACCACCGCAAGACACAACAACAGTCCATCTGTAACTCAACTGAGGGTTGTTTCTCGTAAATACAACAGAAATGATACATGAGTTAACCAAGGAGCATGAAAACAACGAATTAATTTACCGGCTTTTTGGTGGACGATTGATAAACGTCTGGCAAGCAGATAATGCTCAGCAGTGATTCGGAGATATTGCAAGTTGGTGACGGCCTTTAGGGAATAGTCTGGCACAAACCTAGCCTCGGATGCCAGTCGTGCGGAATGCACAGTTGGGTCAGATTTGTCGCACAGATCCGGAAAGATTGCATTCACACCTGGAGACGAATGTGTAGGTATGACGATAAAGCAACACATAGAATTTAAAGGAAAACACCTGAGAAGTAGTTGTCAGTTTGGGCTGAAAAGACGTAACGATTAAAAAAAAACCCTGAGAGAAAACAATCGAAAATTTAATTGCACTCCAATGATACAGAAAACCGCATACAATGGTTCGATCGAGGAAAGACAAAGGTGAGAATATGAGATGAGCGCAGCTGCTACCAAACATGGACAAAAAGCAAAGAGGATCAGTAACGGGTGAAATATATACCTGATTAGCTGTTCTTGGGCTCTCTGCATTTGCCAGCATATAACAAAGTAAGTACAAACGACAATGGCCGTACGTAAATAAGTCCAATGGAGGAAGTACAAACTACATTAACAAGTCCATTGCGAATGAAATAAGCTGTGACTGCAGAATGAACGTGTGCAACGGACCTGTTGACTTAATTACCTCAGCTATTCCACCATGGATGACTTAGAAATGCCAACCTAACCGGAAGATTTATCAGAAAAAGCATCCCGAAATTAAAAATATAGACGACTGGTTAGGAATGTCCCTCAGATCACTTCATGAAGACATTACGCCTATCTGTGGACTATCTCCAGTGTACTAACATTGAGTTATAAATCGAGGTTGATTAGGCCAATGGGGTACAAAGATAAGAAGAATGTGGATGTGTTCATTCTTTAGTAAAAAGGTGCGTGCCTCATTCTTTCTATCTGTTGACTGAAACGTAAGGCGGCCTCGAGAATAATTACTTACAAACAAAGAATCGGAATATCAACAAACCATTCTCAACTACTGGCGTTATAACTGCCACTTTGCAACAATCGAGTCTTCAAAGCAGTAACACAGGTCACTCGTTTAGTGAAACAAATCAGCACGAAATTCACTCAATTATAACGTGGAAAAAACGCTGTGTGGGAGTCCCAGTTGATGAGAAACTGTTTTATCGTAACTGGTTGAGCATTATAATCCCATAATCCAATGGTTGTAGCATGGCACGCTGTGCGGTGATAGAGCTGGTCGGTTTGGCGTAACCAACAGCTATGATTGGGTCGTGAACACAGGCCAACTGATCAGCTGATCTCTGCTTATTGCCACAGGTAACAAAGTTGTTTGACGTTCATGAGTTATATTGCATTAACTGGACCGACGAAAACGAGTTTGGGCAATCTGCTCAGCACTGACAGAATCACGTTACTCCATTGGCATACAAATTTGTGACATACACTAGCAACCGATCAAGTTAGCCTGTTGGGATTGCATTTTTAACCCTCAGGAACCATCGGTATCCTGTGATAAACGGTTCTGTTCCAAAGTCCTACCGGTTTGATAACCAAACCAGAGCGGCCAACTGCCGGCGGACATTTGCAGTACGAACAGCATAAGCCTTCTTGCGCGGTACTCAAGCTGATGACTTGAGTGGTCGGATGCCACTTACAGAAGCCACTCAGGGGATTCATGAGGAAAATGCTTCCAAGATCGCCATACTCTGAGCGGCGATTCTGACGGGGTAGGCAGACCAACAAAACAACACAATCAGCTGATATTGGTAAGCTGGGTTCCCACCAGGTTCTCAAATGCTTCGACGGAATAAAAATTTGACCAATGTATCCTGGCTTCGTTTCCGGTGACTATGTTTGAGTTGCGGCCAGCCGAAACACCAACAGGGCCGGCTAATCAGAAAATATAAGGTAGCCACTGTAAAGTAGTGCAAAGCAGATGGCATGAAGAAACCATAACGTTACGCGTCGTTCATAAATGAATAAAGCCCCCATAAATGCGCATATTTCGCGCAAGTCCAAACTAAGGCATACTAACATCCAAAGCCACAACGATTCGCGATTCATCTGAATATTGATAGCACAGGTGTATTTACTGGTTGTTTGGTCTATTCACCGCAATAGTTTTTAAATGACCCGTAATAATATTTGTATCGGCCAATCATTTCGTAATGTAATTTCACCCCTCTGCGCCACCAGTGCAGACTGTGAAATCAGTCAAGTATTCCAACAAGTACTGATGAACGAGTGAGTTCGAATCTGCTGGTCTCATTAATTCCTTGAGCACGAAAATCTGTCAATGTGTTTGCGAATCATGATAATTGGTGCCTCTCCAATCCTAAGATTTTATGCGTTGGAAAATTAGGTGCTCGGGAGAGGCCTTTGAACAACTAAGGATCTCTTACAGTACACAAGGTTCTACGGAAATCGCCGTTATTAGGGGGTATCTACCTTAAGGAAGGAGCACAATCATACTAGAAAAACGGATAACATTAACCAATCGCAGGTGAGGCTATTGGATTGGTTGCAGCGAAAGTGAATAAGGTCATCGTCTCACGTGGTCACTCGAGAGTACTCCGATATAGGTGGAAACAGAAAAACAAACAATGATGAAATCACAACCCCGTTGTCGATGTATGGTGGCCGAACAACCGTCTGACTGACACCAGTCAGTTTACGTTATGCAAAACAAACGCCAGGCTGAATTCCATGTGAACATCCACAGTAAACATCTGCGCATCGTCACCGTAAAGTGCCTTAAAGAGTGGAGTTGAATCGTCTTCGGACATCTCGAACGAAAAATTCACTTTAACATTCCAATGTAAACAAACGGCGTGTTGAACATGCCTGAAATTTTGCCTTCAGATTTCCTGCGGTAATGAGTTAATTAAACAATAAAGCTAAGTAAACTGACTTTCTCATTCTGACAGCTTGCAGGTGGAAAACTTGTGGCACACAAAAGAGTATCGCGTCCGTGAGACCTGGTCACATTAGTGTCATCAGGGCTGGGATGTGCTTATTCGGAGATCGATCATATTCACAGTCTTGTGAAAACGGAATTCCCATGAAATAGAAAACCCTTTTAAAAATTCGTCAAACCCCGTTGATATCCCATACTGTTCTCTACTGGGTCCCCTGAACTGCAAATCTCGCGGTAAACAGCAAAAGCGAGATGCTACTACGAGGCTGAATACCCGTTTTGTGTGAAATCTAACTCTTCAGTGTGCAACCGCCCACGTAGTTGTTAGTCATTGTTTCATCAACCTTTGAGCCGTTTGATTGTCAATTTTCATATGTAGTATCATACACAGAACATCATCTGCAGTGACGTAGCGGACTGATGTTGCCATAACAGTTCATTGTCGTCCCCTGCAGCATGTAGTGAGACGTAGTAGCAAATCACCCTTCACGATGTAGTCATGCAGACCAGTGAAGTGTACAGTCAACGCTAGGCTCTTAATCGTCAACAACCTAACCTTAAGTGAGCAGTTTCCATTGAAGTTCAATATCGGTTAATTAGGCAGGCATTCAGATATCTGAACACATGCCTCTGTCTTAGCTTCATATGTTTGAGGTGAACAGTGGTCAGGTTATCTAGGGGTGGTAGCAGCATTGACGTCATTCTGCATAGATACATGAAGTCAGCAGTTGGGAATGTGTGCCTCATTGGGCCTGGAAGGCAACAATCAAGCGAGCTGGACACATCATCTTCGAAATCCACTCGGATGAATGTTTTTCTCAGGTTATGGTTGGCCACATCTTTTGAATAAAACAACCTTACTGGATTGACGGCAAAAATTTCCGATTCTATGAGTGTTAAGGAACATGGTGCACCTCGTCAGCCCACCTTGAAAGCTTGTTTCAGCCAATGTTCTCAGCAGTTCTCTTGATCGTTAGCGACTCGTTTTCATTTAGTGCACTGACAATAAACCTGAGGTTCCTATCTATGACATGATCGGAAAAAAACATTCTCGCGAACCAAGTTGCACTTGCTGTATAGGCATAAAGCCTACAACCCTGTCTATGGTGTTTTTCAATACATCGACCTTTTAAACGGGTCATATACCCGTCCAACCGATGGCACGTCGGAAAGTGTTTCTACTCTGAGCTTTGTGTGTAAAGCTGACTGTCTAAGGAACCCCTTAAACTGTTATATAAGCGACGAAACTGTGATTTCTTGCTCTATCATCAAAAAATATACCACGGATATCAGTGGAAACTACTGCTAGTTGTCAGTTAAAGCTGACGACATTACGGTTTTGTCACGTACATGCCGGTCAACTATCAAAGCAACTTGATGGTAGAACTCTACAATGAATTTGTACTGCCGATTGAGAATAAAACGCAAGCGGAGGTCTTCTGGACGTGCAGTGGTCAAGGATAGTTGTGTACTATAACTCTGAACACAATCATCTAGGTAATTAATTGTTCCTAGCAGCAGCCATACAAAATGAAAACATCCGGAACACACATGACTGCTTGATATACACAGGGTCTGAGTCGAGTCTATGAAGTCTAACGTGTCTCTAAAACTGTACGGGCTCAGTCAGAAATGAGTCAGTTTCAGTCATTTCGTGGTTACATGATATCATCATCATGAAATATTTAATTCGAGAATGCAAACAAATCACGCTGAATTTTAAAAATATTCGACAGCGGTTCGAAGTCTCTCATCAATAATAACTATTGTAGCTTGAAGAATTGTGAGCCAACTTTGTCGGTTATGGTTATTACTTCATGTCTGCATGATATGGCCCTGGCGGTCTGATCTGGTAAGCCATTGAAAGTTACCATGAATGGATCGTAATCGGTTTCTAAACGAAGCGTTAAATTCACTCTGCATGCCCATAGGAAACGGACTAAACCGTAGCCACCGCAGGGTCACAACACTGTTCTATCAGCTCGTCATCTGTACCCAGATACGCTCCGAGAAATTCCGAGCCTGATATATCAGGGAATGAGGGAAATCCGTGGGCACATGAGTTGGGGAACCTACGGACGTGAAAAATTAAAGCAGGCGGAACCAATCAAGTTAACAAAAACCATCAGCGTCGAAAAATTACTTGAAAGGCTATTGGACTAGCTACTCACGTGGTCTGTGCCGAGAAATTCTTCTTCACTGTCGACTCATCATGGAGGCTTTCACTAAAGTGAGGGATGCAAACGGACGTCCGGGGGGTTAGACAGATCGACGGGTCGCTGGTTGTCTAAGGGATCTGATTGGACCCTGATTTCAAATCATCAGCGGACGGCATACAGGGCGATCGGTATCGTAATTGACTACCGACTGTTTAAACGGAAAGCACATTGAGCATCCTAGAGGAAGAGCGTATGAACTGAAAGTGGTCCTCAGCTCTTAGCAGTAATATGACACCACGCGCTGCCACCGGAGTCTCCGGCACAATCGCCGTCCGTCATCAACCGCTTTATCTGACATTGTCTACCCGCACCTTTCCATTGTTGGTTAGCTTATCCAAGGAGTTATTCAGCGTTCCGTTGTTACCTCAAACTTCGCCCATTTCGACAAACGACCTCAACCCATAACACAGTGGAAACTGGCCGATCGATTGAGACCACACACGTGGTCAGATCACGAACTACTTGGGTCACAGTGAGCTCCGGTGAATGAGCAGAAGTCCGTATCAAACCGGTAAACTTCAGTCGTCCAGCAAACTCACTCCCCGTGTAACTCTAAGAATTTGTCCTCAGGAGATAATTAATTACCATCTCGCCAAACTGTCCAGCATACATGTCCTTCATTTGAGATGCAATTTTATCAGTAGGGAACATGATTTGTGACACGGCTACCAACCGAAACACCAACTAAATTTCTACTCGCATTCCGACAACACTTGAATTTCGCTGCAGCATTCCCGTTACCAGTCAACAGAACACCTGCAAAAATCGTCCAACGCAGTTAAATTAATATTGAAAACAGGAAGTGGGCTGAGGAAGCCTCTGAAATACAGGCAGTCGGAGCATGCACACACTCTCCCAAGCTGTTCCCACTGCTCGGAAGTCCCAGCCTGCGTCAGTGAAACTGTAAGTGAATGGCAGTGCAAAACAATATGCACCGAGCCGCATCTGATGTAAACCCCAAGTGATAAGATCGGCAGTCAAACGTGCATAGTGGTGCATCAGTAATTGTTTCGAAGAGTGAAACAGAACTATGAAACGTGGAGATGAATAAAGGCCTACCGATAAACCAGAGTGTTAAGTAACTGTTTCCTCCATGCGTAGAATCCCATCACGGACCCCAAGTAGTATTCGAAACCAGAACTATCCAGGTACGTACGGCTGATAAGTAGTGGGATCCAATTCCATATAGACAGGATATCAAACTCCTGAGATAGGGCACACGTGAAAACGAGCTTGCCACGAGACACTTTGAATTGTGTCGGAAAAAAGCGCAAGCAAATTTGAAACAACTTACGCTTGAGAACCGTCTCGCCAAACATTACGAAAGGTCCAGCCTCAAACAAAAGACCCTCGTTCCCGATTTTGCACAGAGCACGTCCTTGGAGTATGAGTATCGCGTAATTTGCCCACTGATTCGGCAGGTACAAAATGTTGCTTTCTTCATCCTTTGGACTGTAAGAAGCGAAAATGTCAGCACGACGTTAGTTGCTGTGTGAGGTTGCCTGATTTAAGTCGAAGCGAAACCTACGTCATGTTAGTACGATTCTAGCAGGGGAGATCAGTAATTAATGGTCAATCACTTGAACTGCAGCGCACCACAGCCCGAGGTGAATTCGTCTATCCAAACAAACTTTTACGCCTAAACACCCTGGGCTAAAATGTTACTGCTTGGTAAGACCGAGGAGCCCATGGAAAATAGAGATGGAGTCATTTAAATAATGTATGATATGTGAAATTTGGACAACAAAGTTTGATCCCTCGTTTTCATGAAATTCAGCTGTTCCTTGAGACCCTTGAGTGAGAATGCTTGGGATTCTGATATCAGTGGAAAGCTTGGAGCCCACACAACAATGGTCATGCACGACGCGGTTACTGCTCCACGAGGTTGATCCACTAGAAGTGACCGCAGTAAAAACATAGACTAACCGATGATGTGCCTACAACGTCAAACATGTGTTTAACGGGACCGTCAGGGTCATGCAAAATAATTAAGCTAACGCTACCATTATCCTAATTATGAAAGTTTTTCAAGAGTTATAACGAACCATAGCATAGGAGACTACGAAGCACCAAGTAGCGCAGAACACAATATTCCTACTCAGAACGCTAGAATAGATGGATGATGAATCCCTCCGAAATCGTAATTACTGTCTTACCATAATGTTGTGCATTTGATGTTAAAGATGACAGATGGACTGTTCAATATTTTGAAAAAGCATCTGCTCCAGTCAGTTCAACCAAACAGCTTTACTATGAACAAACCGTGAGCTGAAATAAATTAACATCATACCTAGGAAGAAAATCCACTGATATAATACATAGATCTAATTCGACCATCACGGAACAAACAGAGACGCTATGTCCAGTTGCTGCTCAGTTGTTGACCCATCCAAGAAGTTGATGAGTACAATCGACTGTTTGAATTCTATAATCAACAGTCTAACTTATTTCTAAAGACTGAGTGAGGGTTCCTGCAGGCATCTATCTGACAAGTTTTAATCTATACTTCGTGGTCTAAGACTGCATCAGTTTTATCATGAGAAATAGACACCGTAGCCTGAATCCCCCAAATGTATATTCCCGAACCACAATTTACAGTGATTAGTCTTCTCTAGCTTAAACGTAACGAAAAGCACCATTTTTAAATATCGGTACAGATTATCACTTTCAAGTGCCCCAGATCCCTGCCTGTCGGTGAACCGACTGTGGTTGGTATAGTTGGTGATCCGATTGTAAGTCGGAATCATGATGCGAAATTTGTATCGAAGTGGGGCTTGATAGTGGGATATAGGGTGAGGGCGAAGAGGCCGAGATCTCCGGTTCTGTTTGCATGAATGGAGTGAGGTGATAGGTGCTCAAAAATGTTGTTAATACACGCATAAGTCGTTGTCAGTCCTATTGTGGCAGTAAACGGTAGAATGAATGAAACGTTGCGAATACACAGTCTTCATTTGCATTGATGACTAAGAACAGGCGAAGTGTAGGTTGAGTGTGGCGAGGTGGATTAGGAGGCTCCTAGAAGTTCCTGTCCGTTATCTAATATTTGCTCCGGAAACGACAGGCTTGGAGATAACCGATACGCAAACCGCTAGCCGATCTGAATGAGCTCATGTAGCAGATCACCATCTTAGCCAAATGAACACTCGGATGAATTATGAAGCTACGAATATACTGGATTTGCTTAGTCATACGAAGAATTCTTAGACCTTATTCCACCTTCGTATGAGACTAGATTAGGTATCAAGAGTGATAACTAAGGCCCGGAATTAATTGCAATAAAACTATGTTCATCTGCAGATATTTTAGCCACATAATAAGGATGAAAGAGTAAGCGATTAATCCGTCGATCAATGGAATTCCTCAGTCTTTTCACATACTAGAACGCCGATAATTCGGTAGTTCCCTGTTTCGCTGCTCTTCGCGCTTCATCGTACACAGAGTAAGCATTATCACCAACGGGTGGACTAGATACTTGAGATGTTCAGCGTCGCATTTAGCTGAATTTTGATGAGGTCGGGTATTTTATGTTACCCGGAATCGGGTGTGCGCTGCACGAATGTGATGGGAAGGCAATCCATACCTTTGCTTTGGTTATGGTTAAGCCATATAATGTATTGGCTTGAAGGCAATTTAATTACATGCGCCCAAACTGGGGAATCTGTGCTAGCTTACTGAGAGACTCCTGCGACATACGCGGTTGAATTCTTATATTCCTGTAGTTAGTCCTGGACGATCTCCGTTAGTATATACTGCAAAATTCTTTTTCATTAGAACACGATATACAAGGGAAAAAGAACCATCAAAAGCGGTAAACTAGAATAAATTTATAAATACTAAAATGCGCAGTGGTGGACAGTGCAAAAACGTTCTATCATTACTATATGCATGCGCGTCAGAAATCTCGAAACTACGCAACCGCATTTACATAATGCGCTACCATCTTCAGGAAGTTCAAATAAGTAGACACGTGCCGGAAGAAAACGGACTGTTGTCGTGCGCTGTGGCACCAAGCAAACGACAGATATCAGTTAAAAACAACGTGCATTGGTTGTTTCTTGCAAACAAGTGCCAGAACCCCTGAACACAATTTCATTAAAAAAATCAGAATCTTAACAATAACTATTGCGGGACCGAGTTCACTAGTTTGCGAGTTCACGAGTAAGAAAACACAACGCTGAAAACTCTTCGACGGCCCACGATCGGTTTCGCCCTTCTTGGGGCTCATCAGGTAGGCGCAGTCCCCGAGTTTCCGTCAACCGTATGTTCTACTTGAAACCAAATTGCACTGTTTTCGAGAAATACACTCATTTGCAAATCAATCCAGTAATTACGGACGTCAGTCTAAAGGGAATCAGCCCAACCACAAAGAGATGAAGCCCAATGAATTTGCCATCGTTGTTCTTTGAAATGAACTTCGTGGAAAAAAAATAGATATGGATAAACAGTCAACTTAAAATCCTCCAACAGGATACTGAAAATACAGCAGGTTTTCATAAAGGAAACTACTCACAAGGTTGTTGAAAACTCTTCGACCTTGTGAGTGGTTTCCTTTATGAAAATATACTGCGATATCTCGAACATCGTGTCAACTGAACCATGAGGCGGCCTGTGTGCAGCACATTCAGCTGGAGGACATCATAAACAAGAGATTCAGTTAAGTCTCCCGTGAAAACCAAACTGATTTGCAAATGAGTGCATTTCTCGAAAACACAACGCTGTCCTGGTCCCTCATCCACATAGTGCGCGCCGACATGGGTTATACTTTCAAGAGGATAGCTTATTGATGGCGATGACGGGTGATCGGTGCACAGTGCTCACCTAGCAAGACCAACGAGATGAACTAGTAATCTGCTCGTTATTCTTCACTAAAATTGCTGGCAATTTAAGACCATAATGCAATCCGTTGAATTTAGCGATGAAAGCCTTCAAACAGACCAGAATATCAGAGTTCCACTGAGAGCTGGGAGGTCCGAAAAAGTAATCAATAGTTAGTCAAAGGATGTTTGTCCGAACTTATTCTGGGAACAACATAGAGAGCATAGCAGCCTGCTTTTTGAAAGAGGACAAGGAATTCCATTAGATTTTCTATTACCTCGACGGTCAAGTAATACGGCGTCTGAATCCACCTAATAAAAGTACATCAACTCAACGTTGATCCTTGGTTATATCTTTCCGTAGATTAACGTCTAAATTGTGTCTTTCAAAAGGCCGGGCGTCGATAACTATGTTAATCAAACGTTGTCAAATTAATGCAAACTCTTTCTGCCAGTATTTAGTCAGCTGGCTATACCGTCACAACTCGCTAATTGCAAACAAGACATCCCAGATGGATCTCAACAGAATTGTAAGAAAGCAGCAGACGGGGGACTTTTTTGTAAAACTAAGTGAGGACAACAGATGCAACTGTATCCGCGACAAAGCCGTGCAGTTATCTCCCATCAGGAAAATTAGGCAAGAATGGGGATTGCACGGATGTAACTTACCTTGAGTTGTAGCGACAAAATAACAATGGAGACAGAATGAAACATTTCGAGATGAAATATTTAGACTCACTTATAAATACACTCTCCCACAATATTTGAATTCAGGAAACTCTGGAGAACGGAGTAGCAAACAAGGTGTTCTTGAAATGACTCCACATCTGTGAAGGGAAGGAAAGTACGAGTAAATAACCTGACAGATACCTAGTAGTTGTACGACAAAATAAAACGAAAGCAATCTTGTAATGATCGTAAGGAGTTGTAATGTGCGGGTGCAGCCGGGATATCTGAAAGCACTGTACTGAGAACCGGGATTTTCCTAAGAACTTCCACTTAGTAGAAAGGTCGGGCGCGAATGTCATTGGACAGCAGTGGTCACCAGCAGCGAGGAAAACCGTTTCGGGTTCCACCACATTTCTGCTAGATCTGGTTTATTTGTATGTGGTTTCGACAGGCTTCCGATTTTGATTTGCGCGCTTGCCATAATCCCCCATCAGATTCACGGTTAAAATTGATCAATAACGTACAAATGAACAATTATCGACCACAACCATGAGTATCCAGTATACTCTGAGGGGAAAATTTATACCGATCAATTTCAGCCAAAGTTTCCACCTAATCATGTACTTAGGGGGAAGTAAAGTCCAACAGTTGTGATATCATGATGGTGCAGGTGGGACTGTTCGGTTTCCAGTTCAATTGCTGCAACTTTCCTGAATTGAAAATAAACAGCCATGTTACGTCGTGTGATCGAGGAAACCATGGATAGGATAAGCACAGTACACGCCCTTCAGTTTTGAAACTGTCCTACGAGCAGACTGAGAACGCCGCTGACAATGATGGCTGCTAAGCAAACGAAGTCCGTGTTGATAGCGCAAAATAGTAGATCGTCCATCACTTATCCAAAAAACGAAATAATGAGATTCCTTGTTCAACAGTTCGATTTGGCCCTTTGAAGGTATAGTGCTAAATATGAACGATCAGCAAACATCGCCATTTGGTCTCGATAATAAGTTAGAAGACGGTTGATACCGAAAATAGAAACAACAGCGGCTAGCTAATCCAGTCGCTAAGAAAAACTTAGATCTTTGAGACACGGGAGTGCGAAACTTAGTTGTTCATAAACCTAATCACAGACGTCTTGCTTTACAGATCGCAGACATGTATTCAAATGTATGCAGCGGTCATTTCCACACCAGCATTTCTACCACGCAACTGAGGACTGATAAAACTCAACTCGGAAGAGTATTTGCAATGAAGGGTGACAAAAATCTGTAATTCGAATGTATGGAATAGAATGCACAGGTCAAAAGGTGAAGCACAAATGTGTTGATAGATGGAATACTCACATTCTATGAAACAATGTCAAATTAGCCATAACACGTAAGTAACGTATACCGCAACAAGAACGTTAACAAGACCGTCCGTTGGCGTTCAAGGAGAGATTGCACGAGTGCTAAACGGAACATAACCCGCTGAATTTGACAAAACTAAAATTATCTTGTACAGACTAAACATACTAATCATAAAGTTGCTGAAAACTCCTCTGTTGAAGAGCACCACAAACGAGGGATTCAGTTGGGTCTCCCGTGAAAACCAAACAGGTGTGAAAAATGAGGGTATTTTGCTATTTCGTCTTGTCGGATGACATGCACATTATAACCATTTAAGAAGGATAGGGTAATGTCAGCGCCACTTAATCATAACGCCAACTGGCCTAGCAAAACGGACGCTGCTATTGATCAAAGCTATCGAACTGAAGTCAGCACCGCAGAACAAATGGTACACTTGTAAAGAATAAAAAGCTACTCATCTTAGAATTTTTCACCCCTTTCGCACCTACCTCTCTTAAGACTTCTTTACCCACGACAATCAAGACCTCACAAGTGACCCAGCACAGTCTGAGCTGACTTCGATCGATGAGACTAGAAGACCAACTAAAGATTGAAAGTCGCTTTTTAAATCCGAGAACCGGTGCGCTGTTTCGTCTGAAGAAGTTCATGAATGAAGGTACAGGACACTAATTAAGGAACGACTATACACTTTCCCTACAAAAGAACGCGAAAAAAAGAGTGGGAAGGAAGGTGATAAACGGACTGATAAGATGGCCATTCGGTTATGAAAAATAAGTAGTCGAGGGCAGCCAGATTATTCATCGTGGTCAATCACGGCGAGGGGACCTGATCTCAACCGATCTACGGGGCTCAAATTTTGTTCATCTGTTTCATCAATATGTTACTACCTGTTCCAAAATAGTTTCTTCTAGGATTTTATTCCAGGGGGACCTAGCGGAATCTGTCAACTAGTCTTCAGGTTACCATTTCCCAACGCTCAAGTGAGAAACCTAACAGCACAAGGCGTGAAAAGGATTATTTACTGTGGGAAGGAGTGAGTCGAACATGCTGACGACGGGTGTTCTACCAGCTGATTACCTAAGACGTTGTTCCACGTCTGAACTATGTGAATCGGCACTCAGTTGCCGAATGGATAAACAGCCGAAGAACGCCACTTCCATCAATAATTCAGTTGCGTGAATTGTATAGTGAATAAGATGTCCACAACGTCACGAGAGAAGTATATTTGTATGCCACTTATTATTGAAGCAATAAATGTCCAACAATTCCATAGTCGGCTAAAAGCAAGTTTCAAGTCTCCCACACAACGAACTTGAGTCTTCATTTGTACGTCCATGATATACACCATCCTACTTGGGTTTTGTATCATTATTCGTTTTGTCACTGGTACAGCCTGTCGAAGAGGTCACTTGCTTATCAGTACAGATCCGGCTAATTTCGGTTGCTCTAATTTTGACTGACTGACTCACTTGAATGAATAGTTTCGGGACTTTCCACTCAGCCACGATAAAACTGTGGTAAATACATACAACCTTCCCGAACACAGCAATATTTCGGTACGCAAACAAAAACTCCAAGCTGATTCAGTCTCCATTGAAGAAAGACTGGCCAGAAGAAATAAAACCGGTCATGCTTCTTAAATTGGTCCGTTCCCAGCGAACCTGATAGAACCATGCTTCGCTTATGCAAACAAACTGAGCTAGATCACGCTGATTTGCACTCCTACTGGCAACAGTAGAGAGAAGTGAAAGGGAATCCGCCGCTAGATTTGCATGAAATATGCAAATATGAAGTTGCGCCTAAATCACGACTCTGCATAAAGGAAGTAGTCATGAAACAGAAGCCAGCATATTCTATGCAGAAGAAATAGCACTGTCGTAAAGATTCAGTGACCTCAAGAGAACTGAAAGAGTGAGGTAGACGGGCGAGTTAGTGCATGGTGCAAGGCGTCGATCCCATGTATTCGAGTGGTGGTTTGTGTAATGGGATTCAATATATCGTCGAACAGAGCGGTGAGGCGTGATGACCAATCTCCACGGGGACACCATTCTAACCGCAATGGCTATCGCCGAGCACGAGTGCTTGATGCGTACAACAAGGCACAAATAAGAGAATCCGTCGTTGGAGTCGTAGCATTATACTTAAATGATGCACACTAGTTTCCCGTTCCGGGATTCCATCAATAATTCAGTTGCGTGAATTGTATAGTGAATAAGATGTCCACAACGTCACGAGAGAAGTATATTTGTATGCCACTTATTATTGAAGCAATAAATGTCCAACAATTCCATAGTCGGCTAAAAGCAAGTTTCAAGTCTCCCACACAACGAACTTGAGTCTTCATTTGTACGTCCATGATATACACCATCCTACTTGGGTTTTGTATCATTATTCGTTTTGTCACTGGTACAGCCTGTCGAAGAGGTCACTTGCTTATCAGTACAGATCCGGCTAATTTCGGTTGCTCTAATTTTGACTGACTGACTCACTTGAATGAATAGTTTCGGGACTTTCCACTCAGCCACGATAAAACTGTGGTAAATACATACAACCTTCCCGAACACAGCAATATTTCGGTACGCAAACAAAAACTCCAAGCTGATTCAGTCTCCATTGAAGAAAGACTGGCCAGAAGAAATAAAACCGGTCATGCTTCTTAAATTGGTCCGTTCCCAGCGAACCTGATAGAACCATGCTTCGCTTATGCAAACAAACTGAGCTAGATCACGCTGATTTGCACTCCTACTGGCAACAGTAGAGAGAAGTGAAAGGGAATCCGCCGCTAGATTTGCATGAAATATGCAAATATGAAGTTGCGCCTAAATCACGACTCTGCATAAAGGAAGTAGTCATGAAACAGAAGCCAGCATATTCTATGCAGAAGAAATAGCACTGTCGTAAAGATTCAGTGACCTCAAGAGAACTGAAAGAGTGAGGTAGACGGGCGAGTTAGTGCATGGTGCAAGGCGTCGATCCCATGTATTCGAGTGGTGGTTTGTGTAATGGGATTCAATATATCGTCGAACAGAGCGGTGAGGCGTGATGACCAATCTCCACGGGGACACCATTCTAACCGCAATGGCTATCGCCGAGCACGAGTGCTTGATGCGTACAACAAGGCACAAATAAGAGAATCCGTCGTTGGAGTCGTAGCATTATACTTAAATGATGCACACTAGTTTCCCGTTCCGGGAATGGGAAAACTGGATTGTTTATTATTGTTATTATTATTATTATTATTATTATCAATGCAGTCAAGAGCAACATAAAGTAAATTTCAAATAAACGATACTTACTGGATGCTAAATGCCTAAGAGCAGCTATCTTCAGCTGTGGAGATAATCGAGAGTGGCGCTGCTTCTCTGGCATGCTGAACATGCGAAAGTCGCGCCTGCGTACCAAACGTGGCTGATGATGGACATTGTCAGCTGTGAAAGCGGATAAGATGGGTGAACAGTGAACGTGTGCATCGAGTTTCATCAAAATACGACGGGAAACAAACCAAAAGAGTGCGAACCCAAAACCATCTGGCCGCTTCTCTTTTCGAATATGGCGAAGTGTACGTTTGATGAATGTAACGCATAAGGCTGATGGAAACAAAGATGTGTTTCGTACACCCGAATAGATCCTCACAATGGAAAATCTAAGCGATCCAGTGAATGTCCTGGAATTAATGACACATCGGGCACTAACTTGATGCGAAAGAGAGTCACAGGAATTACAAAGAATCTCTTATTTACGGTGCTTCCTAACCGATTGTGCGAGAAGATCACCTCAAGGTTCACATAGGTCAATCTATATCGGTGTGATCATTAGGCGTGGTGCGGTAAGGCAGGTCAAAATTGAAGACAACTTATTGGTCTCGCCCTGATCGGTGCCCACTAGATAAGGCGCAGTCCCGGAATTCCGTCCGTATTTTCTCTTATGTGAAAACTACATGGCACAAGTAATGGGCGTTCAACTTATCTGGATAGCCAATTAGCATCGGTGAGAAATTCGAAGGAAATCTGAGTAGGTCTCTCATTTACGATAGTCTTCAAAGTCCTCTTGAATCTTCCGTACACATGAATTTAGTACGTAAACTAGGTATAAATACGATTACAAGTCGGTGTCCGGGTAAAATACGGATTGGTTTAAGTTTGAAGAATGTGTCCCAAATAGGATGGAAGCAGTAGTGAGTCGTTGGTGAGTTTCGATCAATGAAGTCCTCGTAATCATGGACGTTTTTCTCTGCCTGGTTTGACAGAACATTGCGCGGAGTTGCGGCCTACTTGTAAGGCGTAACGTTCACGCGCAATATTTGAAATATCATAAGGTCCCCCACACCAAAATATGGGCAACAGTAGGCAACTCAGTTTGCACTTCGGAGAAGTAACGCTGTCCTCCCTTAGCGAAATTGGCAGGGTTAGTCACCTTCGGTTAGTCACTGGAAAGCTCTACCACATTCACTCTCTCCTTCGAAAGTTGAGTCGTACACTTCGGAGAAGTAACGCTGTCCTCCCTTAGCGAAATTGGCAGGGTTAGTCACCTTCGGTTAGTCACTGGAAAGCTCTACCACATTCACTCTCTCCTTCGAAAGTCGGATGAGTCGTACAATCAGATTACCACCGATAATCGGATTATATACTGCTACGTTAACTCAGCGCAGCAATTCTTAGCTTCATCAGTGTGTATCCCACGCAGAATTACTCGATATAGCGAGCAGAATTGATTTCAACCCGTCCAAACACACTTATAGGCCAACGACCATCTACCCTACCTGAGCTACCAACACTTTCCTCCATAGAAAACACTTGTAAGCATATCATCTTAATACCACTAACCCCTGATCATTCACACTCATCATAACCAGTTACCATTGCACTCTTTGGTGTACTATCGGGGACTCTACCAGTAATCTATCCTGCTCAGATCACACAGGGCTGATGACATTGACAGTCACCTAAACAATCGGTTTTCTTTTCTGCTCCAGAAAGTTTTCTATTGTCTTTGAGTGGCTATCTCAAATTATCGGACCAAATTACCTTCTGTTTTTTCTCCAGGAAAGCCGAAACATGGAGCACACATTCACTTTCTTTCTTCTCATATTCAATCTTTCTGCCTTCAAATCAAGACTTCATGGTCATTTGAGACCCTATGTGCTTTAATCTCATCGTCATTTTTTCCGTTTTTGCTGATCCTCTCTTGTAGTTTAAACTTCGCGTAAGTGACACTTAAAATAGACTAGGAATAGACTTTCGTATGAGTTCCTTGGTAGAGAACTTTCTCTGCATTGTCGTGAGTCCTCAATCAGCCGTACCGACAAATCAGGTCCTGTGTGGTGGACGAGCAAGAAGTTACTCCAAGGTCAAAAATAATAGTCCTGAGACCACCATAGACGAGAGAAAATCGATAACCAGGGACGATGGCTCGATCCTTAGGAGTTACACATCTTTACTTCAAAATTTATATGCCGTCTACCAAAAGAAATTGGGAGCTCGCTAATACACCATGCTATCGATTTCCTAGAGGACCTGGTTAGTTTAGAGTCTCAAAGACTAGCGCGATGGCTCGATCCTTAGGAGTTACACATCTTTACTTCAAAATTTATATGCCGTCTACCAAAAGAAATTGGGAGCTCGCTAATACACCATGCTATCGATTTCCTAGAGGACCTGGTTAGTTTAGAGTCTCAGAAGACTAGCGTTAGCCGAATAATTTAATTAACTATGGTTATGAAACAAATCTTAAGCAACTACGAGAGTGGAAATATGCTACCAGGATTCGGCTGTACGGAATAGAAGTTTCAACAATCAATTTTCATAGGTCAGAGAACTGTACAGTCGAAAACGTTATAGTGTGCAGTAACGGTTGACACGCAGTTCGTTTTCTGAGGTATGTTCCTTACAGTTTGAATTGTGCTTTCTCTTACAGGTCGTTGAGTTATTCAAGCAGATTGACTTATCTGGAGTAATCTGATTGTGTATCCCAACTATCTAAAACACGGCTTGACAAGTGGCAGACCATACGTTTGTATTTCGATCAGATTTGTTCATCAAAGAAACTTGACAGCTGACTACTGTTTCATCACTCTGAGTAACTGATGCTCACTGGGCTTGTGGCTGGATTCCGCAAAGATATAGTGCAACATCAAAAAACTATCTCATAAGTTAGCCTCCGTTTCTGGTCAGAACCACTGACCAAAAAGAGGGAAACTACCAGTGAAATATTTGACGGAAGTGGGTAGGTGAGGTAAGAAACACTGAACAACCAATGTGAAGTATCAGGTTTCATGCACAGTAAGCATTAGGTTACCAAAGGTTACACGATACCACCTACAACAAGAAGTTAAAAAGACATTCTTCGCAATGAACTGCATAGCGCTAAGCAAACTATGAAAGCTTTAATATTCCGGAGAATGTTTCATCCATCTTTAGGTTTCAAAGAAGATGCCGGAGTAGAAGAATACTAATTTGTACCCATACTGCTATAGACCTGGAATAGTTGCGTTGGTCGGCAGAACTTCCGGAAATGCAACTATCACAACACTTTGAATAAGTGCAACGAATATAATGACTAAAATTGTCAAATATTCACGAAGTATGGAGTAGAAATATACTGACTGAGAGCGTTTCATCCCCTAGCTATGTAAGGCAGCTCCTGAGGATAAGGAATGGAGTAGACAAACGGAGTTAGGTGCAAGGCTTTATTTAAACACTGTATAAAAATATATGTATATAACGCTTCGCGTCGTGAATTCAAGAACTTGATTTTATTCGGTTTCTTTAGTTAATGGGCGGTATAAATAAACTAAACTGAAGAACCGAAGGCCGCATAGAGAAAAAGAGCACACAAGGACCTTGAAAAAGTCAAGGCAGCACACGACTCACTCAAAATATCCGTCTCATCGACAATTTCGGCTTGAATAATTTCTTCTATCACATCCTCAAGAGTCACCAACCCGATCATTTCACGGTAAGGATCACCCTCGCCTTCTGTGACCAGACGCTCGACAAAAGCCATATGGGCTCGTCCTGTGTGGAAGGTGATAAAGGTGAGCACTGGCGATTAGGGTGTTCAAAGAACGACGCGGAATGCAGAATGCACTACAAACCTAGTTCCGGGCATTGGGTGATGACCAAAACGATTCCCCATAACAGCGGCAATAGCCCCCGATTACACCTGAGAAGGCTCACTGGTGAATTCATAAACGACTTCAAGTAAGGTCTAAGTTCACAGGCTGAGCCCCCATGGATTGTTCAGATAAAGTAGGTCAGTGGGAACAATGGTGTTGGAAACTTCTTAATTCGATGGTGCTCCCAACAGGCAGTTCCACTAGAGTGAAGGACGTCAAAGATCATAAGGAGAAAACCAATCACACAGGAATTCCAACCAACCTATCGAATGTCTGGATTCCGGGAACAGTTGTTATGCGAATGGTTCAAATCAAATGTAGTATACACAGACGTCAGGTCGTTGGTTGATTTCCTGTTCTAGGAAACTCCGAAGAGTATCAAGAAATAGTGACAACCGACTGAAGAGTAACCAAGTACTTAGTAGTGGTTCTGATAACTGATTGCTGTTTTTACCAACTGAATACTTTTAATCAGTAATCACGCTCATAAATGAGCATCAAGTCTTCCGTCGACAATCCAAGCGACGAAGACGCATTTTACAATCCAATGAGCCAAGAGAGAGAAAACCGTTCTTTTCAGTTCACACTAATAGCCTTGTGGCCTAGTGGTATTGAGGCTACACTAATGGCGGACCACGGAGACCTGAAAGGGAAAATATTTATCTGCCACTTTATCCGCCGAAAACAGATCTACCAATATCAGTGTGCCACCGTCATACGAAGTGATGGATCATGACTATCATACAAAAAAGTATTGATAGTCCACATGTACCCAGATAACTCTGGATAGAATTACTTGTGGTAAACGACTTTGAAGACTTTGACCCTTGGGCAACAAGATTTGTATAGTCCCAGTATGACCAAGGTGTCTCCCGATTAAATAGGATGTGTCATTGATCACACGTTGACAGGCGGCTCTAAGCAGAACCGATACACATCTCAGAGAACCAACTGGGTCAGTGGGCCAGTTTCTTATCCATAGCTGCCTCGCGTATTCAGTGTTACCTAGGGCACCAACTGTTATTATTGTTGTTATCCTTCACTGAGAAGTTGATGCAGGCTAGTATGACGAGGAAAAGCGTTTGATCCGAAGAATGAGAAGCGATTCCCATACACTTAATCCGGTCTCTTAAAATCTGCCGGATTAATTGAAGACTGCCTAAAAGAGTTACACGTTCAGTATGTTGCGCAGGTAGGGCGGATTAGTGCGGATGAGGAATGCGCGACAATATCCACGAGTGACCGTTAGTAGACACCTAAAATGAGGAGAAAAAGGCCCACCTTGGCGGAACTCCTTCAACATTGCCTCGAGGTTGGTTGTGTCCAGCACGATTATGATAGATCGATTATAGAAGTCACACACTGTTGAAACGGGTACCTTGTCGTCCGCATTGATGAAGGCCAAATCCTTCACATTCAAGACGGCTCGAATATTTCGTCGATCGTGCTCGAACACGGGGATCCTCGTGTAACCATGAGCATAGATATCATTCATCGTATTGAAATCCAGTGTTGCAGAGTAGGACAGCATGAATGCATCGCTGAGTGGAGTCATTACGTCTGCGACAGTTTTCGTCGTCAAGGCGAGCGCACCAGTAATGATATTCATTTCATCAGTGGCGACTGTACCAGCCAGGGCCTAGACGCAAGGGAAGGGCGATGCAAGTTAAGAGTCGAAGAAGAAATAACCAAATACAGTCCAAGCTCGGATAAGAAAACGAATAACTTATCAATATCAGAAAGCCATTGAGGCAACTTCCTCAAAGTAAGCGATATGTTTTTAAAACCACTAGGCTCACCAAATTTTCTCGGTTCTTGTTCTGGTACTGGTAGGAGTTATTCACCGAATCGTGATCTATGCTGTTTTCATGCTGACAGAGGCGTCAAATATCATGTTGTGTAGAGGCAGGATGCAAAAAGTCATTAAAACAAGGTTAAAGGAGCAAGTGAGCGACATCCTTCATTACAATTATTGAAGAGTGTTTCTCTATGCTTGTTACCACATCATCAGGATTTTCAGCCCTCATATTCCCCCATACGCCAACGATATATACTGTCAATAAATGCACCACAGCGAGGCGTCTGTTCCCAGGGTATATTGCCATTTTTCACTCCTACTTGCACTTCAGAAAATAATGAAAATGGGTTATCACTTGATTTCTATATACGGGAATCAATCGTGACATACTTTCGTTTAGTCTAACCACATGAGGAATCCAATACAAGTAGTACCCCAAATCACAATGAGTTCTCCGCTGTGAACCCCGTCTAAAACATTCATAACAATTCTTCTAGTCATCGCCTATTCTCAATGATGTAAGAAGTGACCAACTTCTTCCTAATCCTGCATCACGTTTGTATGCTAGACAACCATTTTCGTGCGTATCAAACGGAGAACGTCAGAGCGCTAACGGATCTGTTTGACCTTAGGATTCATACTGAGAGAATCATTCACTCCGCTCCACTTCGATGGATTCTTCAAGACCCCGATCATTTGCTTGCAAATAAGGCTAGGAAGAAGACCGCTCATCAATATTTTTATAATTTCGGTTTCTATATGGGCGAACGCTGAGTCTGTCAGCATAAACGATAATCCACGTATCTGTCTCCACTTAGGTTGAATGAACCGTGCTTTTGCGAATGTTGAGTTTGCTCAATGGTGAATGTTAGTTACGGCTAGAAAGTCTGCATTCGGGACCTCGGGACATCACTGACTGAAGCTGAGGGCGTTGGTATGTCGAGTCAGCTTTGGGTCGGTTATCAATGGTTGTACGGTAGTAATATACGCACCATCATGCTTTGACAGCTTTGCCTACGTCTCATCGAATTTGAGCAAATTCAATGAGCAACTATGAATGGTGATGGGTGTTGAAAGTCCGAATGTCCAAAGTTGAACGAGAGTGGGAAAAATCGAAATTCGAAAACACTTACACCACTAAGGTAGACTTCATTAGGCAAAATAGTTAGATTTTTAAACCAACCATGCCACAAAATCCGAAACGGCAGCTGGAATGTGAACCAAGTCTGAAAACTGAGGGGCTGAACTCGGATGCTTAAGCTTCAAAGCACTCAGAGAAATGCCATAAGTTATGCCGTGACGTGTAGGTTTACCATACCTGCGGATGACCGAAACATATTTGAGGTAATTTTGGTTAGAAACGGGCCGTGAAACTCCGGTGTAATTCCATTTCAAATGTGTGATACGAAAGAGAAAACCTCAATTGGATGAGTGTGAGAATAGAGAGAAAAGCTACTGTTACCTTGTTTCACTCTAAACGATCGTCCCAGGGTATATTGGAACCCAATGATTTTCTCCTCCCCTTTCAAGCTTTCAAGGACACGATCAACATACGAACACAAACCATACGCATTTCCGCACTAAGATGGACACTTACGACATCGATCAGTTCAGTTAGCAGTTGAAAGTAAGGACCTTGTTCCGGTAGGAAGGGAAGTCTTGTTGACTAGAGGCGCACATTTCCAACGGCATAAGAAACGAAGGAACAGTGAAACTGTAAAACTGTTCATCATTTTAAGACTGAACATTGAAAAGTGGCAAGTTACAAAACGAAAGTGGAACTCAGAAACCTATAGCATGCCGTTGGATAAGGGTTGAAGCACAAATTGGAAATGAATGAATGGATTGAAAACCAGCCAACCCGTAAGGCCAAATTAATGTCACTCAAAGCAGAACTGAGCATCAGAAGCTGACCAAGCATAAGTGGCGACTATAGGGTGCAAATAAGGCCTTAACCAGTCAAGACATTGAATGGACTCGTCTGAGTAGTATTTCCCGCTAGAAAAGTATGATCGCAATTCAAAAATGAGCATTGAGTTTCACTCAGCAGACAGAAACCTCCTTAATGGAACTTGTGCTTGATCATGCCTTTCCTTGAAGAAGCGTAGAAGAGTGGAGTAGGATTAAGATGGCAAGGGTCAGATTAAGACAAGCTCCACAGATAGACGCTGCTTTGGTTCTGGTTCGCCTCAGCTGATACGTAAACGAATCTGGTCTAGAAAGCGATCGATCCGGACGAACGACACAGAGTTTCCACCCTTCCTATTCACCGTTTACACGCGAAAACGGGAAGATACTTAGATAGAATCTACCTCATTGGCTATCGATACTTTGAAGGAGAATCTACATAAACTTCTGACGGTTCTGAGGTCTGTTTATTTTGGTTCGCTTCACGCGAATACTCTTCTTGGGTGCACTTTTTGATGGTCAGTGTGGGTGAGTTGGTGCCACAACAACCAGAAGGGGTTACACAAATTTTTGTGAGTTGGGTTTTCTACCTTAAATCCAAAGCCCCCTGCTAACTATTCCTTTCGATTGATAGCCGCAGCTACCACGAGCTGAATCAGTCCATCTAAAACCGCTCTCCATACGGTCTCCAGCTCTACCTCCCTTACCCGATTCCCGCTGTGATGTGTGACGATTTCCATCACCTCGGTCATCAGTTGCCGTGATATAAACCGCAGCTCCCGTTCCAAAACTTCCAAATTTTCTATGATGACTTTATGTGTTAGGTCCCACCACCTTTGGGTCATCACTAGCACCCGGCACCCACCACATTGATTGTTGTTTTGGTTATTCTTCTGTACTCATCGATTCAATTGTGTAGTTCCCTGGTCATTTGTCTTATGTGGATCTTACTGCAGACGTCTAAAAATGTCTGATCTGATAAGACCTTTTGTTTGCAATATGAAACGGAATGAACAGTCTCGGAAATAATTTTTACAGCAGCACTGATATCAAACGAGGGTACCCCAAGTCTCGGGTCAAGGAATATCCGTGTGAGAAGACAACTTGCATTGACCATCAAGAGGATTACAGAGTAAAACGATATAAAGAAGGCCTATTGTGAAAAACCCGCTTAAGTAGATAGGTAGACATTAGAAACAGGTGTCATTCAAATGCATTCAACCGCGCACTGACCATGTCTCCTCAACCGGTGACGGGACGCTTACAATCCAGTTGTCTATTTTGGCTAACAATCAGCAACGAAGTAAAATCACTGGTGCTTCGTCACGTCACGCAGGTAAAGTAAAGCCCATTTTATTTGAGACGTTACGGTTGTGTAACTAGCCATGAACTGACAATTATTTCCGGATGAAGAATCAAGTAAAGAACATGTAAAACTCATGGGTCAGGGATGAGAAATCCTGAAAGACGCACAAATTGAAAAGATGCCAAAACTAAAGTACTTTTCTGCGACTTACACTGAGGTGCAAATTGTATTATTGCTACAAGGATTTGTTCCCAAACACCATTTTATAAAAAACACTTCACACTGACATGAATTATGAAGGCACAACAAAGCGAAAACCCGCTAGAATATAAAAAGCAAATGATTCACTGAGCAACAAGAACAAAGGAACGAGTAAATGCTAATTAATTATGGCCACCGACAGAACCGGTGAAACGCGAGCAGAACCCACAACGTCTGGGCGACTAAATGATATGCGAAAGTTGGATTAGATATCTGAAAACGACTAAATCAGTTGCAACGTCCCTACAGCAAAATGCAGAATAGGCATTGATTAGCACCTCAACAAACCAACATTATTCACCCCGCGGAACAAATTAGCGAACACTAATACTGTCTGGAATCAGAAATTCTATAGTTTGAGGGGCCAGAGATTGAGTGCCATGCGCAAAAAAGCTTCAGTAAACAACCAGTGGATTCATTCCAAGGTATCCGCCAACCGTTTATCAAACTTTTGTAAAGCAATGGTTTTTCGATCGGTCTCGGAGTTTTCCAGTTGACGGAAAACCTTGCTTCCTAAACACCCTGCTTCGTGCATCAGTGTTAAACACTGATATGTCGTCAAAGATGATGACACTTATCTGGCGTTTATGGTATTCTTTGAATAAAGTAGGTGAACAAAGGCCGCGTCTTGTTTCATCTGGTACACCACTCGAAATATCGAAGTAACTTTTGACGGAACCCATCTGTCATGACTATATAACCCATACCTTTGCATAACCTATTAACTCGTGATTCTCACTCTATTTTCAGCTCATGTTCTACAGTTATTAGACGATTAAAGCGTACATTACGTCTTCCTATTCTGTCTCCTTTCTGATCCCGTCCTGGAACTACTCGACTCTTGCAACAATTTAATCCTCTAATAAAAACGAAATGGATCATATTCTCCGACCTACGGTTTTTGATGCTGATCCTCACTCATCAGATGGCATGAAACGATGGACTCATTGGTTCCGTACTTTCAAAGCTTACATTAACTCAATCAAACCCGAAAGTTTAAATAAATTGGAAACTCTCATTCGTCACATCGACCATACAGTGTATGACTTCATCGCAGAATGCAGCGACTACGATTCTGCGATAACCTTGCTGGAAAAACTTTACATCCGCCCGAAAAATATCGTGTATGCACGCCATCTTTTAGCCACATACAAACAAGAACCTGGTCAGGATGTCGACCAATTCGTTCAAAAACTGAAATCGCTTGCTAAAGACTGTGAATTCAAAGCAGTATCTGCTGTGGAACATACAAACGAAGCAGTTCGGGATGCTCTGATAACCGGATTGCAGTCGAATACCATTCGGGAGAAACTGCTAACGTGGCATGAATTGGACCTTGACAAAGCCCATGAAGCCGCGCGAGCTC